ACGGAGAGGAAGAAAATTGGACTGAGAATTGCAGAGAGGCCATATAGCCAAGTTGGACGTTTCTATATCAATTTGTAAATTGTGAATTATCTTCTGAGTTCCATTTCCAGGTGGTCATGTTTATGTTAACAACCATTTTTTGTTTTGTATTGAGGAAAACTTTCAGACACTATCCTGCTTTGAGGAGGTATGGGCACATTTGAGAGTACTGGCCACGAGCCATCCACCTCTGTGTGAAAAACTCAACCATGGGGAGCAATGATTTTCTTCCTACAGACTTGCATAGCTGGAGCTTAGCATTTCGTAGAAGACTTTCTAAAGACATTTGTAAGAGGCACTGTGGCTAACCAGATATAACATAGGATGGAAAGCAGACATTTTTCACCTTTCCATTAACTTGGGCCTTTTTACAGAAAGGAGCATAGGTCATTGTAAATCATGCAGGAGAGGTGTAATCATGTACAAGAAAAAATGCCTGAGATGGGGGCTGTGCTCAATAGATTATTTCTGAGTTTTATTCAGTGACTAACATTAAATACATTATCAGTGATGAAGGCAAAGGACAGAACCCAGTACTGCCCTATTCCAGGCAAGTGTGAGATCTCAAAGGCCTTTAAAAGAGCTTCTGTGAAATTGTTGTACATTAATACACTTTCTGAGAAGCAATCATTTCTTTATCTTCATAGTCTCTCGCACAGAAGAACACAGCCCTGGAGATTCACACACAAATCTGATGATTGGCTTTTGTTCATAAAGTTAATCCCATCAGATCCTCAAAAGGACAAAAAGGAAATTAAATATGTGAGCAACCAATTCTAAAAGCAATTGTTATTGTATCATAAATTTGTTTAAACGTTTCACATCATTACATCTCAAAAAATTAACTCATCTAGTAATAAACGGTAAAAGCATGGGTAGTTACAGTGCATTTTATCGCCATAGGCACTGATTTCTGGCAGAGTCGTAGGCATTTTGTATTCTTTGTGGTTCTTGAGGCTCAAAAAATGTATTTTGAATGGGAGAATTTTTCTATACAATGCACTTTTCCTCTGAAAATTGTCACTGAAGACATCAATACTTCAGTAAGTTCAAACAATATTGCCTATTTGTAATGTAGCTATAGACTATATCTACAACAATATGCAAAAAAGCTCCCATAATCCAAGGCATAAGCTTTGCCTTTTGCGACATTTTTTTTTATAAAAATCAAAACAACAAAGTAGACAAGATTATTTTCACTTTTAAGCATCTTCAGTATAAATGGCAGCATCTCAGCGATTCATCCATAGCTCCTTGCATAGTCAGTGGTGAGAAATAAATACTGTTTTTAAAAGAAGTATTATTTTTATGTCATCTGATTTAGATACCTACTTTAGGATAACAAGAATCTTGCCCTAAAAACACACTAACCATGACATATAGCAAGTGTGATCTTTTTTTTTTAGTTTATTTTAGCATTTTATTTATGTTCTTCTCAAAGGATGTTAGATTTCCGTTACCCATAGAAAAGGGTCAGGATTCAATCAGCTGCAGGCTCAGTTGTTTCTTGGGATACAGAGATCCCTGTGATACCATGGTAAACCAGATACAAACCATTTCCAGCCTCTCCCTAGGGCTTCTGTCCCAATTGGCAACCCTGAAATACACACCTTTCAAAGTAATACTCACATTTCAGAGGCTATGACAGTGCGGAAATGGAGTAGAAGAATGGGCAGGGCAAACACAGCTTTGCGTAGCTGAAACGTTGAGCACCGGCCTAGAATTTGCAGTCTAACAGCCTCCTGTCGAAAGTCATGGAGTAAATGACTGCTGGGTGGGAGCAGGTAATACTGCTTGGGCAGTACAGCCTGCAGGTCTGTGGGTTGCTATCAAATATGTGCTAATCTCGGTCTGAGAAGTCCTGGACATATTGCAATACTACATGTGGAATACAGAGTCAGTCTGCATGTGAATTATATGTGTGACATGTACAGAATATGTTGGTCTGATCGCAGCTGTGTACATCTGTGTGTAGCTCATGTTCACTAATAACTGTAAAGCCCAAGTAAGCTGAGCTTACTAAAGTGCTGCGGGGAGCAAGCACTCATATTCCAGCAATGAGATCTCAATCGTCATACCAGCTTCTTTTAACTGAGGTTTTTTTAGAAAGATTTTTCTTTTAGTTATTTATTTCTTAAGTAGTTATGGTCAAATTACAATTTTACTCTGGATTTTGAAAAATGTGTATTAAAATAGGCTGCCTGATGAGAAATTTTATTAAAACCATGTCATTTGTTTTATCGTGTTTTTCTGATATTTTTCTATTCTTTGTATTGCTTCCACTGAAACTTTGTAATGTACTGTGACTTTCCGTAATTGTAGAATATTACCAATTTTAGGTTTTGCTAAACTAACCCTCACAAAGATAGATATTCTGTGTGAACTGGTGTTGAGCTGTGTCTCAGTATGAGGAAATCTGCTTGAAAATGAAGCAACTGGTTACATTACTTTACTTACAAGCTGCTGGTTTTCTGTATATAGTGTACTGGTAAAACAAAACAGAATAAAAACCCAACCAAACCAAACCAAAGCAATTTCAACCCAGGGGACCAGAGTACTCTGCAAAAATATTTATGTACAGAGGACTAGTAGGTTTTTGCTCACATAAGTTTGTAGAAGGTCACTATCTAACTGTTATACTTCTGAGCCAGTTATTTTTCTGAGCCAGCCAGAGTATCAGTATATTGTTTCTTCTGAACGTTGCTCTTGTGATAGAAATCTAAGGGGAAAAATCTGAAGCCAGCTCATATGTGACCTACAAGCCAGATCTGAAGCAGTGACCTGATGATCTGTAAATACACTGGAAGTTATACCTGTTGATATCACTAGCAGTATATAAAGAGTCATGCCACAAATAAGAATTTTAGTCTTTCAGATTACTTCCACAAAGTTCAAATGGTTTGAGATGTTTCTTTTCAAAAGTAAATTAATTTTTGTTTGTTTATTTTTCAGCCAACTCAGACTGTGATGCCTGGTCAGGTAATGCGAGTTACAACTGGTGCTCCGATTCCATGTGGTGCTGATGCTGTGGTGCAAGTGGAAGATACAGAGCTCATCAGGGAATCAGATGATGTGAGTTAAAACTAATTTTTCTTTTGTGTGCTGCAGAAAGTGGCTCATGATACAATCCTGTAAATATGAAAGATAGTCCTACAGAAATCTTTTCTGTTTTCTCAGAAGTTTGAGGATTTTCACATCACTTCCTAGTGGCAAGTCTACTCCCTTTTTCAGTTTATGATAACAGTACCACAGACCTACCTGTCCTGACATTGATTTTTCATCACAGTTGTTGAATGCTGTCACCAAAGTATTTGGGAGCGTGTTTGAGTGAAAGTCAAATGCCTCCTGGAGATCCATAACTACAGTCCAATTTGATTGCCTAGTGTATTCACATTTTAAAATACAGAGTAGTGGCAATCAGACATTTTATTTCCTTTTTTTCTATTGAGTTCACATTTAGCAGTAGAGCAGTCATCTTCATATTTCAGGATCATCCTGAAACTCAGCAAGATGAGGACTTTAAAGTTCTCCTAAACTCACCAAGTAACAGGGGGAAAAGTTTTCTTAAAATACTTAGTGATCCCAGAATAATACGTTGAAATATTACAGTGCAGCATTACCACTGATGTAAGTAAAGCTAAATATGATTTTCTGTGGGAAAGTGAACTGTTCTAAGTGCTGCAAAATCCATGGGTTGACTTGGATTATTTTGAACTACGCTATGAAGATGGTTCTGTATTATCAGAGTTGGTCTCGTTTCAGCAAAGGTGAACTTGGTGGATTTTGGAGAATATGTCTTGTGCACATGCCTTACAATAAATGTGTATGTTTAGAATAAGGGGGTTTATTATTTAAGAGGGGAAGTAAGTGCTCTCTGAAATTTTTTAAATTTTAAAGTTTCTTCAGTAGACCTCTGTGTTCCTTTAAAATGAGAAAAATACTGAATTTAAGACCTCTGAAACCCAGGAAATGGATAAGGTGCATATTCGCCCAGGACACAGTGTTAACTCTGTTTAATTTGAACAGATTTTCAAGCATACCTGTAAATCATATTGGTGCTCTACTTTACAGATGCTGCAAAATACCACAGAAAAATATGAGTACTGTAGTACTAATTCTGTATGCACAGTTGTCTTAACAAAGTAAAATGTGTTTTTTCATAAAGCACAGGAGCTGTCTGTAGACAATTGTATCCCAAACAGTCCATCTTAGACTTCTTAAATATTGTTCTCTCTTCCTTTGTGTTCAGAGAATTCCTTCTGAATCATTACCTTCACTTACCCAGCTGTGATTTCAGGACACCATTGTCCTGTTCGCCATCATCTCACTGATTTTAAGACAAGAAGATACATCTCTTACTGACACAACTTCCAAGTTCAGTTTTGGAATGAAGTGTGTGCATGGTTCTCTGCTCGAATTAGCCTTTGCTCTTACGCTGCTGTTCTGACAAGCTGTTCCACTTCGCCATAGCTCTATGCTAGCATTGCAATTGCAGCTGCGGTGTAAGCAGATGAATTCTAGTGTTCGAAGCTGATGAAGACAGCAAAACTGAAACATACTCTCATGATCCTTTCTCATGCCTTATTACTGTAAATGCATAGATTTTTACATCTGATGAAGTCAGCAAGATGTCTAGGCTGGCCTTCTTCCTAACAGGGAATTTACTGAGTCAGTCCTGCTTTGAGGTAACAGATGTGTAGGTGTAGATTATAACTTCCTGTAAAATATACCATTGCCTTCACTACTTTTTAATTGTTCCATTACCCTTACTGAGCAAGTTTTCTGTGGCCATTGCCTACCTCATCATGACAAGACTATCACATTGCAGAACAACATACAAGATTACCTGTTATTTTCTACTTCTTCTTTGGATGCCTGTCTTCCTGGATTCCACTTTTTCTGTGCATGTTCTCCTCTGCATGCAAGAATGGAGTCTTTGGCTGTGTGCTTAAACTCTGAATTTTTTAACAAACGCTCAGCGAACTTCAGCTTCCTTTTCCTGCCTGTAAGTGTGAGGTAGAACTCTTCAGTTTCTACTTGTCCTTGAATATGCCACTCTGCTAATCCTGTACATAAGTAATTCGTATAGTTTAATTAATATAATATTTTACTTTACTTTTGTATGCCTGGGTGGCTACATATTTCAAGAATATTTTTCTTTTTAGTGTTAAGAACTCCCTCAGGGCTGGGATTTAACTGAAATGAAATCTGTAACATCTGAAAAATGTTCTTCTGAAAAGACAGAGAGTACTTTTAAAAGGAGCTTCCTGACCTCTAGTTGTGGTAGCAGTATTTAAATGTCATATCAAGCATTCCCTAAATGACTGTAGAAATCACAGGCCTGAAAGGAATTACATCTGTCCAGAAGGAAGAAAAATTCTCATCAGCTTGCCAAATGCACAGTCATTGAGAAACTGCTCCTGCAAAAACATGTCTACACCCTTTTCATTTTGAGTTTTTATGTCACCTTGCAGGAAAAAAGAGGCCAATGTGATCAACCAGAACAAGAGTTAAATCCTACATCAAGACCGAGCATCAGTATATCAGTATGGATGCTGGCTGTTAACAACCATCAGACTAAACCACTCAGACATAGTTCAAAATATATTAATACACAGCAAGAAGAATGCTACCTGATACACACCAGATGTTTTCAGCATGATGCCATACCTCCCTGCAAGCCCTACTTCTAGCCACCTTGAATTTTCTTATATTCCTAAAATGTTCTGCAATATCCATCAGTTCCATAAATAACTATCTCTGCACATCACCATGTTGTCCACAGTCACACTTTTCACAGTGCTTTTCAAACCTGAGTTTACTAAATTCCTCAAAAGCCTTTTTTTTTCTTGTTTCCTCTAATCCAGGAGTCCTAAATAGGACCTTTTCTGTTACCCAGATGTATTATTGGCACTCCTCTTGATTCCCTAGACACTTCCTAGCTATCTTTAAATGTTATCAAAGATACGGAAAATTCAAATTTTCCTGAGTGGCCAACCGTCCCCAGAGTGTCATAAAAATAAAATAATTCTTAGACAAACTGTTGCCCCAGATTTTCATCACAAGCCTGAGGTGTCTTTTACAGCTTCAGATGGGGATAAGGAAGATAAAAGAACATCCTGGGCACCAGCACAGCCATTTTGGACGCTAGCTACCAAAAATAGTCTCTTCTGTTACACAAAAGAATCAGGTATAAAAGAAACAGAATTAGCATTAACAGTATATTTTGAAAATACTGTGATAAAGTAAGAAATAATTTTTTTCAGGATTGATGTTTTTGTTCTTCATTTCCTGGTTTTCAGGGGTTTAAATTTATCCATTTTCACAGTAGGTAAACAGAATCACAATCTGTAGCAACATGTTCATTAACTTTAACTTTGGAGGCTTTAGTTTAAAGAACTTAGCTTGAACTCAGAAGATGCAGCCCATATCACCTTTAAGGAAAGAGACAAATCCCAGTGTCCTATACAACATTATTGTTCCTGTAAAAATTCCAAATGACAATGGCATCCATGTTTGTCTTGTAATATTAGTGTCTGATATATAACTTTGAGGTACTTAGTGTGAAGTACTACATGATGATATAAAAATAAAATCTGTTCCTGTCTAACTAAGTGTAGATTTAGTGCTACTGACAGGATAGCACTATCTCAAAGCTGAGTGTATGTATCATCAACCCACTTGCAGGGCTTATAAATTAAATATTAACATTATATGTTATGTGCCATTTATTGGCATTGAATGAATCACCAAACCATTTAAATTCTGAAGAAGTAAACACAAATACTAAAGTAGGCATCAGACTTTTCAGCCCACTGTCTCTTGTTCACAGTAAATAAACATGATGAATAAGCCTCTTTCTGATTTGTGCAAAACTGTCAAGTAGGAGTTTCCACTACAGGAATCTACATGAAAATCCTGAAACAGTTAGAGCATATATCTTCTTCCCACCTTTCTGCGGGTGTAATGGCATATTTTCTGTCAGACTAATGCTCTTTTTGAAATGCCACCTTTGAAATTGTTCGCGCAGGCTAAGAGAAGTAGAAAGAATCCATTTGGTATACCAGATCGACAAACAAGCATAGGAGCTAACATAGGAAAGATACACAAACATAGGAATCATAAAAAAATGAAGGTAAAACTATGTATTCAGTGCTGGTCCTTCCCTGGTGAGCTCATCAAAGACAGAATTTCTTATAAAGCTGTTCAATTTTAGCTCACATTATATTACAATCTTGACACACAGATCAGGAGAGCAGTGATGATGTTTAAACCATAAGGTCTCAGTATAATGAGTTCTGTAAGCTATGTAGACTTCTGAGAAATTAAAACTGATTAATCTTTTTTTAATAGCCCAGCTGACCATATTTGATGTCCTTGTTTTCGTAGGGCACTGAAGAACTAGAGGTTCGAATCCTGGTGCAGGCTCGACCAGGCCAAGATATCAGGTCTGTAAACAGCCTACTTTATAAACAGTAAAATATCTCTAAGGAATAGAAGGGCTGGTGATTTTTATAGTCATTGTTTGTCCATAATTAGTACTGATGTTTAGACAGTCTGACTAATGAACATCCCTGGATGCTCCTTACCTGGAGCAGGACCAATCAAGGAAAGATACTTTCAATCTCATTCTGGTTTTCTTCCGGTCTTTTCTGTGCTATGATTTTCAGACCTATAGGACATGACATTAAAAGAGGTGAATGTGTGCTGGCTAAAGGAACCCACATGGGTCCATCTGAGATTGGTCTCTTAGCAACTGTTGGAGTAACTGAAGTAGAAGTTAACAAGTTTCCAGTGGTTGCAGTCATGTCAACAGGGAATGAGGTAAGAAAAGTGTGTTTAGAATCAAGGTCTAAGTTACTGTGTCTTCTTTGGGACAGGTAGAGTGTTTTGGATAGTGACTTCCACCCTATTACCAAGTAGAGTCACCTTTTGAGCTGCAACTCATATCACAGAATCACAGAATCGATTAGGTTGGAAGAGACCTCTGGGATCATCGAGTCCAACCTTTGCCCTAACACCACCATGTCAGCTAGACCATGGCACTAAGTGCCACGTCCAGTCTTTTCTTAAACACCTCCAGGGATGGTGACTCCACCACCTCCTTGGGCAGCCCATTCCAATGCCTAACGACCCTTTCTGTGAAGAAATGCCTCCTAATGTCTAACTTGAACCTCCCCTGGTGCAGCTTAAGACTATGTCCCCTTTTTTTATGACCCCAGTTTTGCTACAACCTCCTTTCAGGTAGTTGTAGAGAGTGATCAGGTCTCCCCTCAGCCTCCTCTTCTCCAGGCTAAACAACCCCAGCTCCCTCAGCCGCTCCTCATCAGACTTGCCCTCCAGACCCTTCACCAGCTTCATTGCCCATGTTCATGCTGACATGAGGTATTTTTGTGAGTGATCAACCTGTGATCAGCTGCTTCTGTTTTCTCCCGCGAGGGTTCTCTCACAAGTCTCACACACTGTCTTTGCCAAAATTTTGATAATGTATCCAACCATGTGCCAGCTGCTTTCCTCCTGCCAGCAAGGGAGCCCCTGTGGGTTAGTCAGAGTTGTAATTCATACTGCCAGTTGTGACTGGAAGAGTAATTTCTTTTGAGCAGCGCTACTCTGTAGCTGTAGAGCAAATGGCAGATAACCTGTCTTTGAAAACTGAATAGTACTACCCAATGCCTTGCTGTAGTATTGTGCCTTAGTATTTTTTTATTAGTAGCACATGTTGAAATCCAGACAAGCTCCTGCAGTAGAACTCCAGACCAGCTTCCTAATTGCTTTGTCTTAACTACAGGAAAAAAAGTAGGTTCAAGATAAACTTCATTTACTAATTTTACATGTATTGTGAGTTGACCCTGGCCAGCAAGTAAGCACCCACAGAGCTGCTCCCTCATTCCCTCTAGCAGTGGGACAGAGAGAGAAGAGGAAGAGCAAAAGCAAAAGAACTTGTGGGTTGAGATAAAGTCAGTTTGAAGTTTAAAGACAGCAGGAAGTTTGACCTATAATTTTGACTGTCCTTCAAGACAAACTTGTTGAAGTCCAGACACAAACATAAACCAAATAGCTGTATTCTCATACAGCTTGAATATGTTGAATTTTGAAAGATTTTGAAAACTTTTAATATATTGACTTCTGTCATCTGGTGGTGTCCTTACAACTTCCACAACCTCAGTGAAGGTTACTCTGTGACTACTGGGTACCTGAGGCCAGCCTTGCTGGGGCAGAATCTTGCTGGATTTCATAATATAGACAAGGTCTGTCATGCAGGAAACATACTGCTAACCAAAGAAAAAAATCTAAAGAGCTACAAGGATTACAGGTGATGATTTTCTGAGTAGTGTCTTCTCTATGACTGAATGTTCTTGCATGTCATTAAAAGGTCCTTTACTGGTGATGTGGGCACTCTCTGTTGTATCATGTGTTAAAAAAGATCCCGCACAGAGGTTTCTTAATCATCCTGTGGAAATCTTCATAGAAATAGAGCTGCTAGCCAAAGCATCAAAATTTAGCCATGCTCCATTTTTGGTTATTCTTACCTTACTAAGTAACACTATTGCTCTAATTTTGATAGATAAATTATTATTATTGTTATTATTATTTATTAATTAATACTGTGTTGTCCTTCTGTGTGCTACAAAATAATTCCTAATATATGTAAAATAGATGTTTACATATGTATGGTTTGTAGTTTAACTTTCAAAATATGTAACACATGTAAGGCAATTGCCATGATACTATCTTGAGAGAAAGCTTTTCATCCAAAACAGTAACTGATATAAGCGCCAAGCTTTAAGCTTCTGTCTGTTATTCCAATACAGACTGTTGTATTTAAAAAAACATCTTTATTCGTAAGTAGAAAATGAACTTCAAAATTTCTTTTAATACCTTTAAACCTGGTTAGCAACATCAATGTGGTTCCTTTAAAACCATTTAAATAGAAGCAATAACTTGAAAACTTAAAAGTTTGTGTTTTGATTTCTAATGTTTGCAATTAGAAGCCAGGTACTTCTAAGGAGAAAGAAGGTTTTGCAGACATAAACCAATAGAAACAAACTAAGCAACATGGAGGATCAGACTAAACAAGCACATGACATATCTTATTAGTATAAATTCACTAAATCACTTTACACATATATTTTATGGTAGGTGTCTAAGAATATCCTGTCCAATCTGAAGAAGAAAATTCTCATTTGTGTAAAGGCACAATATTGCAAGGTGACTGAGAGTGTTTCTGGTTTTATAGCTACTGAATCCTGAAGATGACCTCTTGCCAGGAAAGATTCGGGACAGTAACCGTTCAACTCTCCTAGCTACAATCCAAGAACATGGCTATCCAACAATCAACTTGGGAATTGTGGGAGATAAGTAAGTACCACATGTTAGTAAAGATGTCACTTCATATTCTTGTGGTGCAGTATATGGCATCCATGGAAAAAAGAAATACCAGAGAAAATGTCACTCATTGCAAGGGTCACAGTGTTGTGACAGGGCACATCTTGGAGAAGGTATTTTACCCTTTCCATTAGAGAAATAAATAAGTCTATTCTAATATTAAGAGGAATCATTTGGTAAAATTTTATTGAGTGGTGTTTATCTTTTTTTGGTGATTATCTTGTTTGTTGAAACATCTGTTACTGCTGCAAAGTGAATTTATTGCTGCAGTGTCATCACAATCACCATATTTAATACACATAAGAGGAGACAATTCTAGAGCAACTATACTTTTTTCTGATCTAATAAAGGGAGAAGGAAAGTTTCTCTCAGAGTTTATTTTCCATGCCAAAAGTAATTCATAGTATAAAGTTTTGTCAGATTCTGAGTAACTGTCTTTTGGGGAAGGCCCCACTGCTGGATGTTGCTCAACATTTCCAGAAATAAGTCAAAGAATTCAAAATAATTATTTTTTTTTTTCCTTTACTGGTCTCTCTACTTTGATGGCCACAGAGTAGTACCCTGTGATCAGTCTTTCCATTCATCTGACAGTGATTGCTCCTTGTTTCCCAGTGGTAGTGAAGTCACATCTCCTGTTGAGAGCTCTAGGATAAGTGATTGAAGTGTTCGGTCTTTTGTCCTTTGCAAGACTGCAATGCCTGTCATCCATAGCTTGAGTTTCTCAGCATAACATATTTCCTCAGTTTATTGTGCCCCAAAGGCTTTGAACAGGCTTTCTTGTTTCTCATTTTGGGTATCAAACCAACCGACAGACTTGGCTCGATAGGGGTTGTTCAGGTTCACCTCCACCTGTTTGAGAAAAAGGGTATTCTGTGTGGGTAAGTAAAAGTGAGGCGAGGTTAGAAAGGAAAAAAAGAAATAGTGAATTTCAGCACCCACATTTCACATTAATTGATGACAAAATTCCCAAGCAGGGTGACAAAGTTACTGCTAGGGAACAGCTCATTTCAAAACCAGCCTTCCCTAGCACAGGATTCAATACAAAACCTCACTAGCTTGACAGAAAGAATATGAATGGGCCAGCCACTGCCTGGTTTTACAGTATGTGAACCAGCCTGAATGGTGGCTCCGGGAAATGCAGTTATATTTGAAATATTCGTACAGGGAATGTGACACATGGCAACCACAGCGGTTGTTGTGACCTTAGGGAAAGCAAACCCTTCTGGATACTCTTACTGCATCCAGGTATTCTTTTTGCTTCTCTGGCCTGGCAAAACTCCATTGCTGTTCCAAATAGCAATAAATATCAAAAACCTCCTGCCCATGAATGCTTCCAGTTTCAGGTGGAGATTTCATGCAAACAGAATCTAAACTCATGAGATTGTTCTTTCCAGAAATTATATCTAAATGTTCTGGATCTCTAGAGTGTTTTGTATATTATAAGGACCTTTCTAGACTTCAAAACACATGTAGCAAAGTTCTCAAATAAAACTATTATGTCCAGAGATCAGGTTCTAGATTTACATATCTGAGAAAAAAGAAAACAGCCACAAAAAGGCTGTTAATCATAGTCAGCTCCTGAGAGTCATCCCTACATAAAAGAAGACTTGGCAGGGTTTTTCTCCAGCAAAATATTGGAGGTGGAACTTTTTGCCACCTGCATGACCGAAAGTTACTCCTACTGTCGTCAACATTACTGCAACATCAACTTACATAGTGTCATTAACAGTGGGTTAATTCAATGGAACAGATGCTTTCCCCGAACATCTTTCTGGTAGCCCCAAAATAAGAATGTAAATCTTGTTTTTTCTTTATGGCCTTGTCCTAACCAAATCGGTATAGTCTCAAAGTTGCTGTAAAGTCAACACCATCGAATGGAGAGTTTAACTTAAGGTCATTGTGCAAAACTATATCTCTGTACTCCATTGCCTTCAGGAATTTTTTCTATAACCTCCTAGGCATGGAGTGTCTGTGAAGATAATTAATCTTGAAAGCTCTCAGTAGTAAATAGCACACAATTTTAGTGAGATTTAAGGCCCAAGAGAATTTTTTTACTTTTCCACATTTTACTTTTCTGTATTTTTCACAAGTGTGTTTTGTGACCCTTTCTACCTGTTGGATGCTAGCTGAAAACCAGACAGCAAACTTATATATCAGTCAAAGGCAGACAAGTGTCTGCAGCTTTGCTTTCAGTTATGAGAGAGGTTGATACTTTTGAATCCTCCCTATTAAAATGTTCTCTGTGTCTTGAGATAGTATTACCTTGGCAAAGGTAATAGGAGTTCTTTTTAAACTTTCAGTTCCATGCTTGGAGAGTCATTCTGCAGAGGTAGTTTAGCTCATAGAATAGAAATAATGGGCCTCCAATTGTGGAGTGATTTTGTAGTTTGCAGTAAGTTTTGAAAGAATAATTTGGTACTGTTCACTTAGCCAAGAATCCTCGCCACCTGATACCAGGAGTCTGCCTTACCAAGTCTGCTGCTGTTCCTCTCACACTCACGTGCTCAATCCATATATTTACAACAAAATGCATCTCCAGTTCTGTTCCAGTCAAAGGGAAAATCTGAATATGTAAATTAGTTTGATAATAAGTAGAGTGTTATTTCATTATGTAATAAAGCTACTAAGAGAATGTTGTCCATATGGATATTTCAGTATATATCTTTTGGACTAACATGACTGATTTGATGCAGTACCATGGCACTTGAACAAATGCAAGAGTCTTACCAGAGAGATCTTACAAAGGGTACAATTTTGACATTTTAGTTAGCATGTTTATAGAAGCGATGAACAAGCCTTCAGTGTCTGTTACATGGTTTACTGGAGTTAAACCATAGATTATGTAAGTTTGTGTGTGCACATGTATATGTGCAGTTTATTTTGTATGTATAATATGTATCTAGATGGTGAAAATTAGAAAGATTTTTATATGCCTGTAATACCTACAGATGTACTAAAAATACTGGCAAACAATACTTTACTGGCAAACAATACTTTTCAGAAGGGGAAATTAAAAACTTGTAGTTTTTTTCTTTTAAAGTATCACTGCAATGTATTTCTTCCTTCCCATATTTCACGTTTTGGGGGTTGGGTTTTTTTTTTTCCTATTTCCTCTTATTTATGTGTTTTACATTGAGTAAATTTTACTGCATTTTATTGGAAGTGTCACTTGCTGTATACCATAAGCATTGACTAGAGTTTGAGAGGGCAGATGATAGGGAGCACAGTTGAGTATTACTATTGCTGTAATGGGTCAAGATTTTTAACAAGCATGGAAATTCTGTCAGTCATATATACAGAGCTAATATTCAAGCATGAAAATTGTTTTAGAGTAGTGTTTGCAAAGACAAACTTAGAGGTAAATATTCCTGCATTTCAGCATATGAAGGTGTTTAGGTAAGAAAATAGTTTGTCCAGCTGCTTCAAAGCCCAAGACTGTGATACACGTAAACACATTCCAACAGAGAATGTGAAAGGATGAAGAAGCATGTGGAATGTCTGTGGGTGACTGCAGAGTAGTTAGGAGCACTTTAAAAATGCCTTCATGTATTAATCATATGTGAAGTTATGTTTTGAACTGGCCACTCAAGTCTCACTTAGCCTGTATTTGTATTTTCAGTTGAAACCAATATTTTATTTCTTTTTGGACCATTTTAACAATTTCTAAGGTTGTCATTGTTTGTTTCCATTCTCGTAAATTGTATATAGGACTCAGTATTCAGAATGAAAAACAGCGAGTCCAAAACACATAGATAAAATCTACAGTTAAAATCCTAGAAGCAAGTAATAGGAGAAAAGAACAAACCTGGAAAATGCAATATAGCTGAAGTTATGGCTGGCTAGAAGCCAAGATTTTCTCTGTGTTCTTAGCACATAAAACCCAAGCTGTTTGAAAAGCAGATATCTCTGGGTAGAAATGAAAGATACTCCATTTCCAGAACTACTCCAAACCCAAGAACCAATCTCTCTCTCCTTAGGAGAAAAATTTAGGAAATTCACAGTCTCCTCAGTTGCTTTAAAAATTATCAGAATAGTTATAAAATCAGCAGCATATGAGAGCTTTTCTACATTAGAAGTGATTAATTTCTCATTTATATACCTCTCTTTTATGACATATTGTTTGACATAGAGCTCCTAAGTGACAGGTAAACCCATTAAAAATCACCCTTGCTATTGTGACAGCATTTCTGTATGGTAGCCCTAAAATAAAGGCTTTGAAAGAGTTGCTTCATATTTTGAAAGGGGTACTAAGATCTCATGCAAGGATTTAGTCTGCTTGAATTTTATGTTTGCCATCCAAAAAGAGGTTTAAATCTTTTGTACTTGTGTGGGTTGCATGTAATTACCAGTATTATAATTCAGATGGAACATCTGGAGTAGAGGGAGAAGAGCAGGGAAACCACTCCAACTCTAAGATTTCGTATGCAATATCAACTTGACATATATCATCATATGAGTTAGAATATGAGTTATAGGCAGGATTCAGCCACAGAATCCTGGCCTCTCCCTGCACCAGTTTAATGTCCAACTTGGGTACAATCAAATATACTGTGAATAGAATTATTAGTAGTAGTAGTATCATTTAACAAATGACTGCAAGAAAAGGCTTGTTAAAGAAAAGGCCTTAAATCAAATGTCACAGCATTAGTTTTTGCTAAAGTGACTTCAGTTCTAGATGTGCTCAAAGAATGATGGTGTTATAAAGTGCGATCATAGCGTAATGAATCCAGGAACACTGGGTAATGGTTTGAAGGTGATTCAGATATGGAGGTCCTCTCTTTCATTGTGCCCTGTCAAGAAGAATATTCTCCTTCTCAAGCAGAAATGTTTAATATCTGTCACAACTCTTGATAATCTTTAGGGCAAACTTCAGTTAAGTTGTCATATGTGACAAGTCATCTCATCTAATGCACATGTTCAGAAAACACAAAGAAACATCTGAGCCAAAACAGGGGTGAAAAGAAGAACTTGTG